GTGTCTAACTGCCGAAGATGATTCAGCCATTCAGGATATTCGAGACAACAAACTAAAAAACAATAGAGAAGTTTAGAACATAAAGAATTTGTGCGAGGCTTTTGGCGCTACCTCACGTCATTGTAGGAACTCGGAACTACTTTATACAATCCTTGAAATATTTTCTGCTTTTTCTGCTTTCGTAATGATTTTATACGTATACTGAGCAACACTATTATACTACCTAGCAACATATAGCTGCTTTTATTTTCAGAAATAAAGACTAATATGTTACAGCAAACCCACCTACAAGATTTAATTTTTGGCATTTTGACAATAATAACATACAGGGGTGGTCAAAAGTCTGAGTCCAGCTGATAATATTTTTTAAATTTACAATAAACGATATCTTCTGAGTTGGAAAGCGGATTTGTTGATATGCACTGGCGCATTACATGATAGATCAGCCTCGCTTTTGTTTACTAGTTAACTCACATGGTGTTTACGTTGTACAAGAAATGCGGGTTATTTTTTTTGGGGACAAAAGATGGCAAAAGAGGTTAGCGAATTATCGAAATCAACAATAAAGGGATATCTCAGCGAAAATTGCGATGAAGTTTTAGGTGTCCCGAGAAAAATTGGAACGTTTCGTGAATTAGGTTCGTATTCAATCAAATGAAAATGTGGGAGACCAAGAGCTACTCCTGCAAAGGAAGATGGAAAGAAAGTAGATAGAAAACCAATGGAACGTCCTTAATCAATGTTGGAATAGAATTAAAGCGGTTGTTCTAACAAAATTGGTTCACTCTATGCCAGGAAAAAGTCAAAGCTGTTTTGAAACGTAAAAGAGATCTTTCAAAATATTAGAACTTGTCCCAAGCTTATTAGAACTTCTCCGACATGTATATATCGATCACGTGACATTATTATGCATCAACTCGCGCATTCTTAATTAAAAAGTAGAAAACATTTTCTGCGTTTCTTTTCTTTGACGTGTACGAAAACCTAACCCTAAGTTTAAAGATTTTATCTTGGACTAAAAGACTAATAAACTATAACGTTGTTGGCGTTAGTTATTTAGAGTATGGGTTAATTTGGACATTAAGAGCTTTTAAAAAACTTTATAAAAAAAACGATAAAAATGTTGGGATTTAATAGTTTCTGCCTGTGTTGTAAATATTTAAATATGTATAGAAAGGAGGATGTAGTGGAAGTATTGCATATTTTAGCATAATAATTAACATCATGTCGAGGATATAAATATGGCAGCTTTGCATGTATAGAGATTAAACTTGTCTTTACATGTGGAAGTCTGGCTGTATTTTTGTAAGAGAATACACAACACAATTGGTACTTTATTTTATGAAAATATTTAGAAAAATTATTTATTTCTAGGCAAAGATTTTGAAACTGTGCGCTCTTAATCACCAATGAAGCAAAGTTCAAATTTACTCACTACCCAACAATTCACATGCATGCTTACAGAATTATCATGCAGAACGACTAAATATAAAGTAGCTACAAATTGAATGAAAATTGACCATTGTTACCTGTTTTAAAACCCGAAATTCTACCAAGGTTTCTAAGCCATACTAGAGAGTCTAATATTTAAGAGTTTAAGATTTAGCTTTTTTACGTGTAAGCAACCGTTGACAGATAATTTAAACTATATAATTCACAACTATTCCTGCAAAACGTAACGACAATTCTGCCTATACAATTTAATATTCTGAAAGTTTATCACTGGTAATTTAAATGCGACTAGAATAGGATAAATTTTGAAGTCAAACGAAGACAGTGGATATTTTTAAAGTCCGAGATCTGAATAAATATAGCTACCAAATGAAATAAATTAATAATCACTTGCTAATAATCGTCGCTTCGTAACGGCAAACGAAGCTGTCGTGACAAATGAATCCGGTACCGGGTGAATTAACGCAGCCATAGCAAAGTAATCAGTCTTTATATTTAACTGGACTAAGGAATTTTAGCATTTTGTCGTATATCAGAAAATCCAGCTTGAAAATAACTGCTCTACATCTACAACACCTGCCGCGACATATTGGAGTGTATGCGTTATTGTCGCGAGCTGAAAACCGCTTTTTACGCATTTACCAGAATCAGCGAATGAATAAAGAAAGTTGTCTTACCTTAAGCAATAAAATGGGGATACAAATTTGAACTAATCCGTGTCTGATACACTTTCTAGTGACAATTACAACGTCGCTGTATTAGGAAGTTGCAAGAATAATTGTGCTTGTTAGTAATATTTTGCATTTCCTATGATGCATGCATAATGACGTGAGAAGCCGTGAAATCTGCCGGGAATTCTGGTCGTAGTATAGTTACGGCGGGAAATTTTGAAGTTTTCGAAGTAAAATTTCGAAATTTGAAGGAAAATTTTTCCCCGTGACTACTAAAACCAGAATTCCCTGCAGTCGTCACGGCTTGATACGTCATTATTCATAAGGCTATTGTCTTACGGATGAGACATTATTATCATCATATCGATTAAATTATATATAAAAGGGAGATTATGTACACTTTTAGTACTGGTTCAACACCTTACACACAAAAATGGTGCGAATGGAAATTTATTCTCTCACTATTCGCAACATCTCACAAAGTAATATTGTAACATAGCTACAAATGCCATGTAAGCAAGCATACATTACTTTGAGGCACCCAAATGCGCTATAAATTGTTTTGATGTTTTCGTTATTATATAATTTCATACAGTAGGCTCGTACAAAAGGATAACCTATTTACATGTAAAAGTTTGTTGTTATGCCGTTCTTCTAGGAAAGCATAAAAATTACAACTAAATTATAGTGCCTAATTGTCTATCATTGACATTGTTGATATCTAAAATTCTTTGTCTGTCAGAAGATTCTTAGACAAGTATGAATCAGGCCTCAGCCTAGTTTATATATTTTCATAATTGTCCTGCATGAACATGTCAATGATGTCATTTTTATTGCGTGATATAATCCGGAGAAACCGGTCATTGTTAAATATACCTAAGTAGCAATCAATATTCCATTACATCGGCCACCTTGACATCAATCAGATGTTTACGACAATGGCGCCTAAATAGAGCCCAGGCCCGCTCCAGCGATTTGCTGACCGCGCTAGGGACCAGCGATGACCACATGTATATCTGGGGAAGCGAGGCGTCAAAATATCGCGAATTTCAGGCTTTCTAAAGCAGAGACGATTAACTAAAGGCTCGAGTTTAAGAAATACCGGTACATTTCAGTTTATTGCCCGTTTCGTGGACTGTAGTTTGAGTAATAGCCCTTACGAGTTGCAAATTGTGATTTATATCACTCTAGGTTGACGGCCACGGAATGATTGTATGTTGAAATAGCTTCCAATGACTGCAAAAAAGCTGCAGAATCGATCCCTTCTAAACGTGTTTGGAATTGCGACTTAAAACGACAAACAAGGTTAGTACTTTGCGTAAGGCGTATGGTTGTATTTTGAATTAACCAACTTTCATAACACCTGCTATTGTGTAGATACGCATTTCAATGTATAAGATAACACTAGAGACAGTGCTGCATTTTAGACAAATATTATGGTAGAGCAATATTTTATCACTGATGTAAAAAAGGTTTTCTTAGACATAACTATTGCCTAGCCTAAGATATAGACTGGCAAGGACAAAATACGGAATCAATCCTAACACTGAAACCTAAAACTATTGAAATCACCTATTATTAACAATTGAATGTCTCGTTCGCGAATTTTTTCCTGCGAGGATTAACCCAACTTACAACTGCGCACGCGCTGAAATATAAAAATGTGATGGTAAATCTAAATATCAACTTTTGGAACAAAACTAGCCCATTATTTGATAAAATATAAGTTAGGAAAAGGCAAAAATATACAAGACGGCCAGACAGAACATATATTAAAAGCCTTCTAGCATTTAGAGTATCGAACGAACTGGAATTCACAGTAAATCTTCCTTTTTTTTTCGGGGTGGCTTTAAAATATTTTTCGAAAACAAAAGTTTAAACCTAAAAGTTAAGAAAACCCGCGGAAAGTTAAGCTTTCTAATCTATTTAAATTGTAAAATACATCTTAATTTTCAATCATTGAGAACACGCAAACGTCTCGTATCTGACATATTTTTTTTAATAAAACGTGTCTCAATTAAGAGTTCGGAAACTGTCGTTGCTTATTTGATAAACAAAATGTTTGAGACGAAAAATTTGTTAACAGTCACCTTTTACAGGTGTTTTTGTAGAATGCCACTTTTAGGACTCTCTGGACGTTTTTTCTCTTAGTTTCTATAATGCAGTGTTTATTTATGCCCTCAAAATATGGATTTGAAGACACGAATGAAATCACTCCTTTTTACCGCCATTTTTAGCCTTCGGAAACGTTCGGAACCGCTTTTTAATTATTTTTAATCTCACTTACAGGCAGAGTTGAGGCGTGCGCAGACGTTTTTCCGCGGTGTTATTGTGAGGTCTCTTTTGCGTTTATTGCGTCAACACTGCACATGCGCAAACAGGAACGGAACATTATCTTTAGTTTTTGCACAAGATCAGATTTGTCGAATAATGCGAGGGTTTGATAGCACATGCATGCATGACGTATGATGCTCTTGATATGAATTTTAGTAACTAGACAACGATGAAATACAAAATAATAACGCATTATTACTTCCACATTTACACTTTCGTCCATCTTGAATTGATATTCGGAAGGATATCCTTTTTTTGGATTTGTTTTGTTTCTTTTAATCATCATTGGTTCCCAAGGAAGGAAATTAATTTAAACCATTTGACACTGTTCAAATTTGTCCCTTTGTGATTGCTTAGCCTGCACAATTATTCATGACTCGTTTCAAATACAAGTATTTCGCCTGCTCGCTGTCTTAACAAAAACGGCAAGCTATTAAATTACAGCTAGACATCGCGTGTATTCAGCATTTCAGATGTGTGGACATAATCTGACGAAATATATACTATTGGAAAACTTCGTTCATTTTACGTTTTATAAGACAAGCAAGAAGTCCTTATATTAGGAGTATATCTTCGGTGCTCACTTTGCTATCACAACTGCGTGGAAGGATCAAATCAGGTAGAAAAATTACGGAAATTGGTGGTACGGTAGGATAATTTTATTTATCATAATATGATTGTCAAAAAACTTTTTGCAGAAATTCAGATCATGTCTAAGTTAATCATTGCTGCCTTTTAACAATCCTTGTTTTAATTGTATTATATTATAATATAATAGTATATTATTATAAAGTCTAAACATATTACCGTGTGTACTGAAATTTTTACAGAAATACTGGAATTTTAGCTTTATTTAACGGACTTTTTTATAATCATTTGCCATAATATTAATTACCCGTTTTACACCTTAAACGCCACGTTTGGGTAGCTATAGTTGATGAAATAGTTCTAGAACACTTCGCTTTATCTAAATCAAATGATGGTCAAAAGTGATGACCATTTATTACAATTATTTTATTATATTATATTCCGTTATTTTGTAACTATAATCTTCGCAGTTTTAGCCATGCAAGATAACTGTGGTATTGACTTTTATACCTCTTGCCTTGATTAAAATTTATGTTTATGTATAATATAGCTGGAATCATGTATTGAAATTTCCGATCTTTCTAGGAACGACAATGTATTTATCTGTCATCATCATAGCAATATTCGCAGCGGTTTTTCCCGCGTCAGTTCGTGGCCATGGTATGATGATGGACCCAGTGAATCGCGCGAGTCGTTGGCGCAAAGGTTACGGAGGTCCAAAAGAATACACTGACAACCAACTGAGCTGCGGTGGAAGAAATGTACAATGGGGGAAACACAAGAGCAAATGTGGCGTCTGTGCATGGGACGAATATGGCATCGCTAACCCTAAGTTCCATTATCCCTGGGAGTTCGCAAAAAATGCGCCGATTATGAGAAGCTGCCAGGAAGGTCAAAAAATTGAGGTTAAAATAAGAATCATGACAAATCATTTGGGTTATTTCACGTTTCGTCTCGCCCCATTGACACAACAGCCGATCACGCAAAATGAGTTAAACAAGATCTTGCTGAGAATGCCTGATGGAAACGCGGAGTGGGAACTGCCCCCAGGAAACGGGGTCTATACACTATCACCCTGCAGCTGCCCAAAGGAGTGACATGTTATCACTGCGTGATGCAATGGTGGTGGAGCACTGGTAATAATTGGGTATGTAATCTCTGCTCTTTCGGCTTGCGTTTGAACATATTCGTTTACGCATGCGCATGCTACTAACATGAGAGCTTTTGACCACTTAATTTATGACTGCATGGATGATATCTACATCCATCAAACTAATGCTGGCTGTTATGTTTAATTAATTATTTTTCAGCTACATGTGCTTCCCCCTTCCTGGGATAATAATGTAAGAGAAAGCTGCTACGGAGAGAATGCATATTTAAATTAATTGTGCCACAAAACTGAGAAAGGTGTTCAAGTTTGAATGAACACATAGCATTTCTCTCGATGACATTTTGGGTGTACTTATAGTAACATGAAAAGCAATATTTTTAGAATCAACTGACCATCTAAAGAATAAACTCAGTCTAAAATGGAGGTTTTGCGCTCACGGTTTTGAAAAAAGTTCCCCAAAAATGGCGGCATATTCGACATCGTGGGACAGGGTATTTGGAAGTGCAACTTTTTTGACAAGTGAGGCTTTCTTTTCTTCTGCAAGGATGTCTTTTAAATTTAACGACACTCATAATTTTATGATATTTTACACACTATAAACAACATCGCAAATGACCAATATTATGGTAAACTGAAGGAGTATTTTTTACTTTATTGCCGAAGTAAACAAGATTTTGTTGGTTATGACTTTAGATCTTTCTAGACAAGAGAAATCATTGTTCATGTAGAATTGTTGATGTAGATCAAAATTAGAGTGAGATCTCTTTGTTATTCTCTACCACGAATCATCTCACTTAATTCATGCATGTGTGCCACAAACGTGATACAAATATTGGAGGCATATGCGATTTTTGAACTTATTTATCTATTAAAGTGCATGCGTATTAAGATTTATAGAAAAGCCTCCTATATGTGTTGTGCAACCGTAATTTATGACCGCAGTTGGCGTCCTATCTCTGGGAAGATCGTAATTAATAAAAAATAGAAGTTAACATAGTCGTATTGAACTGGGTGTTGTGAAAATTTCGTGCTCAAAGCCCCCATCAGCAGCTGCATGCGCATCCTTATTTATTTTACACTATACGCTATATTGAATAATCTGATTCGAAAGGTTTTTGAAATCCAACTCTAATTCTTAATAACAAAAAACAAGGAGTACTACTCTTGTACGATAATATGATATGTTCTAGCCTATATGTATTTGAACCTAAAAAGTTTGTTACAAATTTAGTTACTCGGTGTTTCAACTCAACACTATATTTGCTAATACTAGATTGTTTATTGGCACGTTTTAGCCTCACGACCACAGGTTCTTATGGTATAGTTGGACAAAATAATCAATATTTCAGTCCAATACTTTACTTCTATTATTATTTAAATCAACAAGTGATATCTGAACAAGTATCTGACTTCTACTCGTGTTACAGAAAACACAATCATAAAATTCTGATAAATATATATGCGAAACTCTATAAACTAACATTGGGGAATAAAAACTGGAATTTAGATTAGATATTAGACTGGATGCTCTGTATATACTCTAATATGCCCTAACAAACAAAAATGTAGTGGAAATTTTTTTAATGTTCAGATGCTCTTCTCTACAAATTATCCCTCTAAATTGGCGGTTTCATTTGTATCTGTCCAGGGCTGGCCTTATCATTCAAAAGACCTTTTACCCGAGAAATATCGAGATCATATTCAGCCATCTCAGGATGATCTTCTCCAAATAGTTTTACCAGGATTTGTAGAGCTTTCTGTTTGGACTCTAATGCTGACTTGTAATCCTTCATTTCCTGGTTCGCGATCCCAATTTGGGTATAACTATCAGCTGTGTCGGGATGATCTTCTCCAAACAATTCCAATCTAATTTAAAGGGATTTTTTGTGCGACTTTAATGCGGGTTTGTAGTCTCCCATTTCACATTGTGTGGCTCCAATGTCCTCGTAAATAGCAGCAGCGTCAGGATGATTTTCCCCATGTAAATTTAAACTGATTCTTAGAGAATGTTCATGCCATTCCAAAGCAGACTTGTAATCTTTCATCTCACGTTGTGTGATTCCCAGGCTGACATAACTTAAAGCAGTATCGTCGTGGTATTCACCATTCAGTTTCAGTTGCGCTTGTACGACATATTGATGCAGGTCAAGTGCTGCGTGGAGATCCTCATTGAACGTTGTGTGACACCAATTTGACGATACATCTCTACGGTGTCGGGATGATTTTCTCCATATATTTTTAATCTGACTTCGAGGGATTTTTGTTTCCATTCTAACGCGGACTTGTAATTTTTCATCGGATGTTGTTTAGAGCCGATGTTATAATAAATATTCGCTGCATCTAAAGCTTTCTCATGCGACTGTAATGCAGACTTGAAGTTTTTCATTTTATTTTGTGTAACTCCGATGTTGTTTTATATTAACTGTCAGCCGTGTCAGGGTGATCTTATCCATATAGTTTCAAGCTGATTTTAAGTGCTTTTTGTTTCGATTCTAATGCTGATTTGTAATCTTTCACTTCCTGTTGTGTTATTCCAATGGTGTTATAACTGCTAGCTGTATCGGGATGATCTTCTCCATATAGTTTCATTCTGATTCCAAGCGCTTTTTTTTTTCAACTGTAATGCTGACTCTGATTTGTAATCTTTAAACTTGCTCTGTGTGTCCCCAATATTGACGTAGCTGTCAGCAATGCTAGAATGATTTTCCCCATATAGTTTTAATTTGATTTCAAGAGCTTTTTGGTGCAACTCTAATGCTAACTTTCAGGTTGTATTGTGTGCATCCAATTTTGTTATAACTCTCAGCTGTATCAGGATGATCTTCTCCACATACGTTTAATCTGATTTTAAGTGCTTTTTCATATGAATCTAATGCTGAATTATAATATTTCCTGTTGTCTTGTGTGTACTCAATGTTGTTATAACTGCTAGCTGTGTCGGGATGATCTTCTCCATATGGTTTAATCTGATGTGAACAGCTTTTTTATGTGAAACTATAATGCTGACTTGGAATCGGCTTTCATCTCATTTTGTGCGTATCCAATGTTGTTGTAACTGGTAGCCGTGTCGGGATGATCTTCTCCATAGAGTTTCAATCTGATGTGAAGAGCTTTTTGATGCGAAGCTAATCCTGACTTGAAATCTTTCATCTTATTTTGTGCGTATCCAGTGTTGCTGTAACTGTCAGCTGTGTCGGGATGATCTTCTCCATATAGTTTCAATCTGATGTGAAGAGCTTTTTGATTTGAAACTAATGCTGACTTGAAATCTTTCATCCGATTTTGTGTGTATCCAATGCTGTGGTAACTATCAGCTGTGTCGGGATGATCTTCTCCAAATAGTTTCAATCTGATGTGAAGAGCTTTTTGATGTGAAGCTAATGCTGACTTGAAATCGACTTTCATCTCATTTTGTGTGACTCCAATGTTGTGGTAATTGTTAGCTGTGTCGGGATGATCTTCTCCGTATAGTTTCAATCTGATGTGAAGAGCTTTTTGATACGAAACTAATCCTGACTTGAAATCTTTTAATTCATTTTGTGCGTATCCAATGTTGCTGTAACTGATAGCTGTGTCAGGATGATCTTCTCCATATAGTTTCAATCTGATGTGAAGAGCTTTTTGATGTGAAACTAATGCTGACTTCGAATCTTTAATCTCATTTTGTATGATTCCAATTTTGTTGTAACTGTTAGCTGTGTCGGGTTGATCTTCTCCATAAAGTTTCAATCTGATGTGAAGAGCTTTTTGATGTGAAGCTAATGCTGACCTGAAATCCTTCATCTCATTTTGTGCGTATCCAATGTTCTGGTAACTGTTTGCTGTGTCGGGATGATCTTCTCCACAAAGTTTCAATCTGATATGAAGAGCTTTTTGATGTGAAACTAATCCTGACTTGAAATCTTTCATCTTATTTTGCGCAGCTCCAATTTCGTGGTAACTGTTAGCTGTGTCGGGATAATCTTCTCCATATAGTTTCAATCTGATGTGAAGAGCTTTTTGATGTGAAGCTAATGCTGACCTGAAATCCTTCATCTCATTTTGTGCGTATCCAATGTTCTGGTAACTGTTTGCTGTGTCGGGATGATCTTCTCCACAAAGTTTCAATCTGATATGAAGAGCTTTTTGATGTGAAACTAATCCTGACTTGAAATCTTTCATCTCATTTTGTATGTATCCAATGTTGTTGTAATTGTTAGCTGTGTCGGGATGATCTTCTCCATATAGTTTCAATCCGATGTGAAAAGCTTTTTGATGTGAAGCTAATGCTGACTTGAAATCTTTAATCTCATTTTGTATGATTCCAATTTTGTTGTAACTGTTAGCTGTGTCGGGATGATCTTCTTCATATAGTTTCAATCTGATGTGAAGAGCTTTTTGATGTGAAGCTAATGCTGACTTGAAATCTTTCATCGTATTTTGTGTGGCTCCAATTTCGTGGTAACTGTTAGCTGTGTCGGGATAATCTTCTCCATATAGTTTCAATCTGAAGTGAAGAGCTTTTTTATGTGAAGCTAATGCTGACTTGAAATCTTTCATCTTATTTTGTGTGGCTCCAATTTCGTGGTAACTCCTAGCCGTGTCGGGATGATCTTCTCCGTATAGTTTCAATCTGATGTGAAGAGCTTTTTGATGCGAAACTAATCCTGACTTGAAATCTTTCATCTCATTTTGTCCGTATCCCATGCTGTGGTAACTGTTAGCTGTGTCTGGATGATCTTCTCCATAGAGTTTCAATCTGATTTGAAGAGCTTTTTGATGCGAAACTATTCCTGACTTGAAATCTTTTAATTCATTTTGTGCGTATCCAATCTCGTGGTAACTGCTAGCTGTGTCGGGATGATCTTCTCCATATAGTTTCAATCTGATGTGAAGAGCTTTTTGATGTGAAACTAATCCTGACTTGAAATCTTTTAATTCATTTTGTGCGTATCCAATCTCGTGGTAACTGCTAGCTGTGTCGGGATGATCTTCTCCATATAGTTTCAATCTGATGTGAAGAGCTTTTTGATTTGAAACTAATGCTGACTTGAAATCTTTCATCCGATTTTGTGTGTATCCAATGTTGTTGTAACTGATAGCTGTGTCGGCATGATCTTCTCCATAAAGTTTCAATCTGATGTGAAGAGTTTTTTGATGTGAAGCTAATGCTGACTTGAAATCTTTCATCCGATTTTGTGTGTATCCAATGTTGTTGTAACTGTTAGCTGTGTCGGGATGATCTTCTCCATAAAGTTTCAATCTGATGTGAAGAGTTTTTTGATGTGAAGCTAATGCTGACTTGAAATCTTTCATCCGATTTTGTGTGTATCCAATGTTGTTGTAACTGATAGCTGTGTCGGGATAATCTTCCCCATATAGTTTCAATCTGATGTGAAGAGCTTTTTGATGTGAAGCTAATGCTGACTTGAAATCTTTCATCGTATTTTGTGTGGCTCCAATTTCGTGGTAACTGTTAGCTGTGTCGGGATAATCTTCTCCATATAGTTTCAATCTGAAGTGAAGAGCTTTTTTATGTGAAGCTAATGCTGACTTGAAATCTTTCATCTTATTTTGTGTGGCTCCAATTTCGTGGTAACTCCTAGCCGTGTCGGGATGATCTTCTCCGTATAGTTTCAATCTGATGTGAAGAGCTTTTTGATGCGAAACTAATCCTGACTTGAAATCTTTCATCTCATTTTGTCCGTATCCCATGCTGTGGTAACTGTTAGCTGTGTCTGGATGATCTTCTCCATAGAGTTTCAATCTGATTTGAAGAGCTTTTTGATGCGAAACTATTCCTGACTTGAAATCTTTTAATTCATTTTGTGCGTATCCAATCTCATGGTAACTGCTAGCTGTGTCGGGATGATCTTCTCCATATAGTTTCAATCTGATGTGAAGAGCTTTTTTATGTGAAACTAATCCTGACTTGAAATCTTTCATCTTATTTTGTGTGGCTCCAATTTCGTGGTAACTCCTAGCCGTGTCGGGATGATCTTCTCCGTATAGTTTCAATCTGATGTGAAGAGCTTTTTGATGCGAAACTAATCCTGACTTGAAATCTTTCATCTCATTTTGTCCGTATCCCATGCTGTGGTAACTGTTAGCTGTGTCTGGATGATCTTCTCCATAGAGTTTCAATCTGATTTGAAGAGCTTTTTGATGCGAAACTATTCCTGACTTGAAATCTTTTAATTCATTTTGTGCGTATCCAATCTCGTGGTAACTGCTAGCTGTGTCGGGATGATCTTCTCCATATAGTTTCAATCTGATGTGAAGAGCTTTTTGATGTGAAACTAATCCTGACTTGAAATCTTTTAATTCATTTTGTGCGTATCCAATCTCGTGGTAACTGCTAGCTGTGTCGGGATGATCTTCTCCATATAGTTTCAATATGATGTGAAGAGCTTTTTGATTTGAAACTAATGCTGACTTGAAATCTTTCATCCGATTTTGTGTGTATCCAATGTTGTTGTAACTGATAGCTGTGTCGGGATGATCTTCTCCATAAAGTTTCAATCTGATGTGAAGAGTTTTTTGATGTGAAGCTAATGCTGACTTGAAATCTTTCATCCGATTTTGTGTGTATCCAATGTTGTTGTAACTGTTAGCTGTGTCGGGATGATCTTCTCCATAAAGTTTCAATCTGATGTGAAGAGTTTTTGATGTGAAGCTAATGCTGACTTGAAATCTTTCATCCGATTTTGTGTGTATCCAATGTTGTTGTAACTGATAGCTGTGTCGGGATAATCTTCCCCATATAGTTTCAATCTGATGTGAAGAGCTTTTTGATGTGAAGCTAATGCTGACTTGAAATCTTTCATTTCATTTTGTATGACTCCAATGTTGTTGTAATTGTTAGCTGTGTCGGAATGATCTTCTCCGTATTGCTTTAGACTAATTTCAAGAGCTTTTTGTTTTGATGCCAGTTGTGAATCACGTTTAGCCATTTCTTTTTGTAATTTAGCCTAAGAAAGTAATTGCCCTTAGAAGAGTTATTTGTATACCTTTTTTTTGGTGGAGGGGGGGGGGGACAAATGCTGATAAATAATTAGTCTTGTGCCTCACTCATTTCTTTTGATAGCTGTTTTTTTACGCCTTTTTGAACATTAAGATGTAAAAATTTCTCCCTCCCTCTTATTAGGCTCACTAGCTCCGTTTCTGTTTTAGTGTGTGGCACAAATTTTCTCTTAAAAAATTCCTAGAAGGAGTTAATACTTTAGAACCAGACGTACAAAAGATTTTCTGATACATTCGTCGGTCTTAAAAAACCAATCGCAAAATTTAACTGCCTTAAGTTTTCTTACCTCCTTATCTTTATTACCATCCTCCACATCACTAATAACAAGACTTTTGTTATCACTAACAGAAATATTCTTGGTCCGGGGCCTGCGTATATTATGAATAGATGAAGTTAAAAATTACAGTACTGACTATAAATTATAGTACTATATAGGCCGTGGGAAAAGATGTTTAGAAAACGGATTCCGTTGCACCCCTCGTTGAACTACATAATTTTCACATGAATCAATAGATAAAAATTTACTTTATCAGAATCCGTTGTTCCCCAATCGAAACAGGTGCACAATTGGGAAAACAATCCCTCAAAACTTTGCTAATTTCGCGTTTCGAAATATTCGAACCGCCATTGTTTTAGTAACAAATACGCATGCGCTTGTCAGGCAAACTCGCACTGCGCACGCGCATAAATACGCACATGCTTCGAAGTGGAAACACGCTTAGTTATGCAAAGCAATAATAGCTGAAGATATTTATAAAACTCGAACATCCTCATGTTTTATTCATTTTGATGGCTTACGGAACAACTTTGCAAAGTTACACGCCAAAGGCTTAAGAAATTTCTTAAGTGTAGGTCTAAATGGGCCAAACTTAAATGTCAACAAACTGAAATAGCTAAGAAATGCGCGTACGCGAACATCGATGACGGATCTGTCAATTCATACCACTGATTCATACATGGAAAAGACTCCCGACATTAACTTAGAATGGTACCATCATATGAAATACTGGAAGAGATTTTGTGATGAAGAGAAGATCCGTAGACAACAGCGAAAAGAAGAAAGCTCTAAAACTGTAACTTCTACCGAAGAACTACATGTAGAAGTGGAACCAATGGAACCAAGGCGAAAAATTACACGCCAATCAGTCGGCAGTCGCAGACGTTAATAAGACCCTTCCTAAAAGAAACGAGCACGTACTTCCAGAGATATGTATTGTTGGTGGAAGAAACGCTTCTTGGTTCTCACTAGACAAGGTATGGTCATTTTGATAGATATAATTATACTAGTGCAATGTACACTAGTAGCACAGCATTCTCGAGTTTGGTTTTAAAATATCTTGTTCACACCAGGTGACTAAGAAGAGAAGAAGAACCCCACTCATGTTGGCAGAAACAATTGATGCTGGTCTTCTACGTACAGCTGCCAAGAAAAGGAATGATGAACGGATACTCTGCAAATCCGGGGGAAAGACTGTGTAGCACTGGAAATCCGCTATCACAAAGTTTGTTACTACAATTATACAAAATTTCTCACCAGAGGCAAAAAAGCAATTGGAGACTTGAAAGATCTACATCAGTGTACGAGAAGTCTTATGATGTCTTCTGTAAGAAAGTAATCGAGACTGAGGTCATTGCAAATAAGCAAGTAAGGTATATGAAAGATTTGCTGGAGAAATTTGTTATCATTGCTAAGGACACAGAGAATGTGGATGCATCAAAATATAGAGCTTCATCCAAATAACGACTGATGAAAAGTTATCCCCAACTTGTGTTCTATGTACCGAAAATGAGAAATGTTAGTGAGATTGTAAATGTGGAAAATTTGGATTCTTCCAAATTGGTTGAGGAACATATGTCAAATAAGTCAGGAAACAACAATGAAGACTTTGATGAAGAAAGCTATACCATTGATGATGATGATCTGAATTCCAACACAGAAACTGAGGGAAATTCTAAAGTCAATGAGTTACAAATTCTATACAATGCTGCATTGATTCTTTGCCAAAAGGTCCAAGAAATACCAAAACTAAATCTTCCTAAGCCACCACTGGCATCTGATTTGACAATGGATAATATGCAAAAAGTGGTTCCATTTGAACTTTTTAATGTATTGGCTTGGATTTGTGGATTCTCTTCAGAGCCAACTTTAAGTGAGTACGTGCCAATTGAGAGCAAAAACAGTGCCAAACTAACATCAATCGTACAAGACCTTGTGAATTTAGCATCTGGGGGAAGGAATCCTACACCCAAGAGCATAGCACTTGCCATGACCTTAGACAACTGGCAGGTTCAGCCTCAGTAATTTTTCTATTGAGTGGCTTTGGACATTGCATGTCACACTCATTTGTATTGGGCCATGAGACTGCCCTTGCACAGATGAATATATCCAAGGATTCTGCTATTCCTCCAGGCTTTGTTAGTGATGTGAAGGCTATAGTTATGCGAAATATTTAACTTGTCCCTTGATTGTGTGAGTTGTATGTATATTTATATATTCTCCGTCCTGTTTGATACAGGTGGGTTTTTTACATGACGCAATTTTTAATGAATTAAGATGTTAACGTAAAACGGTATTTTGAAACAATAGCCAATGAATTGAAGTGATTTAGCATATGAGCAAGCAAAATGTACAATGTGTTTTCAACAATATTTGATGTGTGTGTATTTATTCGTTAATATTACAAGGTTTAATCTTTATTCCGTTATTTTATTTTGTTGTTTTCACGCGGGAAATCGGGGAAAACCCACAGGGAAAATCCATTTTTCCTGTTTGAGCGTGCGCAGTGCAACTTTGGCTTACATGCGCATGCGTATTTGCTATTATAAAACAATGGCGGTTCGAATATTTCGAAGTGCCAAAATAACAAACTTTGGAGGGATTTTTTTCCCAATTGTGCACCTGTTTCACTTGGGGAGCGACGGATTCTTATAAAGTAAGTTTTTATCTATTGATTCATGTAAAAATTACGTAGTTCCACGAGGGGTGCAACGGAATTACATCTTTTCAATGCTCATCCCACGGCCTAATACTTTGAACAGCATAATTTTCAAAATTTAGAAAAACGATCGAAAATTAGTGCGTTATTGTTATGTCGAGCTACCTCGTATAGTAGATGATAATATACCAGGCTGTCCATTGAAAGTAGATGTCAAGCCCGTTCTGCGCATCGGTTCTGCTCACAACATGTGAGCGCACTTTAATTTAAAAATTAACAAAATTTCCAATGTTTCGTAACGTAACGAACCTAAATAGTGTTAGATATAAAGAGTTTGATGTTCAAAATGTAAACAAACCATTTGTTTACATACGGACTTGACTTCCGGAAGCACTTAACATCATGACAGCCGTTTTCTCAAAGTTTTTTATATCCGGTGTATCTAAACATTGTCAAGATACTTTAAGGCTGAAAAATAGCACGGCAAAATGAACGCAAAGAACAGCAGTGGAAAACAATGGTCGGACGTGAAAACGAAGAATTCAATAGAAACTTGGGGCAATGAAGTCCTTCAACACGTTATGATAAGCAAAAACACTGAAACTAAAACAAAAAGATTTGGTTTTTTAAACAACGTATTTATAGCCAGATTACTCGATGACCTAAAAAGTTTTCTCTAATTCCTTCTTTTCCTTAACTATAAGCCATGGCTATTTGATTTAATTGTTGCATCTCTGCTTTGTTAATACCCGCCATTTAAGTTTCCTGCCAGAGAATGGTAGTGCACGGCTGACTTATATAGCAACGGCGATTGATTATGGGTGCCAAAAGTATTATATTGAGCGTTTTAAGATTTTGTGGCACGCGAGATGAGAAAGAAAATTAATAGCCATGTTTGAAATCGTTATGTCCAACGTGTGACGTCATAACGTGTGATAAATAGTCGTATCCCACGTTATGACGTCACATCAATGCAAAAAATCAAA